TCAGCGTATTTCACTACTCACTAGGGTCTACAAGATAAAAGTAGTCTGAATCGAAAAGCTTTTTATCACCTCGAGAGATTCCCTCGTGAGTAGTATTTTCCTCAATAAATCTCACTCGATTTAGGTGACAGATTAATGAAATTTTGTAGCATGGGTGGCTTTAGATAACAGAAATATATAAGTTGAATCGAATAGCGTAGATTTAGGATACAAGTAAATCCCACGAAAGGGTAAGACTACTAAATACACGTCCATGGAAAACTATTCCAGGGGACTTGAGCAAAAATGCTGATTATTGCATGTCTCTGTCTCTTCGTCGACTACTTTCTATTACGTCACTGTTACATTTACCCATGGTACTGTTCTCTACTTTCTGGTCGTTCACACTCAATTGCAGTGAGGTTAACTTTAAAACGGTCACATATCGATTTCTGTTTTGAGGATGAAAAGTCGAAACAGCTGTCGATACTGTTGAATTGTTAGTAAATAGCAATTGCATGTAGTTTGAGAGAATTATTTTGAAGATCCTAAGTATTCGATGGCATTGCCAGATTAATTTTATTATTTCATTCTACCTTGTCGACATTTACAATTGTTGATGGCTTCCTATTGTCATGAAATTCAAACAAGTTTTTTGCATATTTCATTTCGAATCCTTTATAATCGTTTTCTTCAACCGAGTATAATTTCATCTATAATGACAAATAAATTTTCATATTTTCTATCGTTGTGATCAATCGAACAAACCCTTTCTTCAACAAATGTTTATTCATCTGATAAAATTGTTCAATCGATTCAATCATTTGATTATATTTTGGTCTTACGTGTTGTTCCATTTCGATGATTCTCTCTAAAGTCACCTTGTCATATTGAAATAATGCTTTCAAATCATCTGAATGTTCATTAATAACAGCCTCAAATAAACATTGGGAAGAATCCAAGTTTTCGTCAATTGTTTGACTAGATACAATGGTTGATCAAAAAGAATGATTTCAACAACATAGCCTTCGCCATATGATTATTGACGAATATCTTTCTGTAATTGTCTCTGCAATACGTTAAGTGGAATAGATTCAAATGGAACAAGATGATCGAAAATCGTAGAAAAATAACTTTCAAGAATAAATGTCTTGAGTCGAGTATCGAAAAGAGTCTGATCATCTGAATGAGATCGAATGGATAAAACAATGAGTTGAGGCTGCGAATAGAAGATGAAAATGTAATTGAAAGGCAATGCATCTTCCATATTGACGGTGTATAGTTGAAACGGACAAGATATTCAATTTCGGATTTAGAGTTACCTGAAAAAACACTAAAATTTAAAATACAGCTAAACTATGTTTAGATACTTTTAGTGATCACCACATTCCATGGTTCGTCAAATATTCTGATTTGGTTACTTAAAGTATAAAGATCAAAAAGTTCATTCACTACCATTCGTATAATTACTGTGTGTACATCACAGCGATGTGTTCTTCACTACCAATTGTCTATCACTGTAAAACATTGAAGAATATGGGATATACATATGGTACACCATGACAGTGATGAACGAATTCACCAAACTGAATTCTTATTCTCTCTTTTTTCATCTCTGTTCTTGCTAAATGATTCTAATCCGATTTTGCTACTGCACTCCCTTTTTCGTATAAAAGTTTGATTAATCATAATTTAAGTTTCAAAAGCTCACATTCTTTTGTCTATCACAGATCGAAAGTGCATAGAAGCTCAGAAAGACAAAACATGTATTGAATATATCGATTTAAATGACGGTGTTAAGTACACAGGAGAGAAATAAGAATATCCTCTTAGAAAAGATAATTGTATTCACTGACAAATGGATTAATGATGTTTCGTTCGCAATAAGAGCTACCAATAAAACTCAACTTTTTCCATTACAAACTACTTCTGTTCAACCGTACAATCAATTGGAAGGAACAAATATGGGATGCTGTTAGATATGTATGTCGCTTCTATCCAAGAGTCTTTACTAGTGTTTTCAAGAGCAGAACAATAAATAATATGCAAGTTTATTTTTTGTTTACAGCACAAGCTTAGTGAGGGTGTTAAACCGCTTGGTACTTCATTTAATAAGGTAGTTGATTCTGAGTAATCGGCTTTAGGGAGGATCTTCTCCAGAATCATCGAACCAGATATGGAGTCACTGAAGAACATTTTACAATTTTTGATTGTTATATCTCAAACGACCGTTTTAGTTCTACCATAGTCAAGTCTAAAGCATTAGACCGTTCAGTTTTACTTATACGAAATACTAGTCGAAACACTCAAATGAATCCAATGTAACCTCAAAAAACTCTTATGGTCAGTATTTTCACATTATCTCGAGATAACTTTGCCCGTTTGACCTAGCGGAAATGTCTCAATAGATAAAGCTCTTCCTAGCCTATAAAATCATGATCTTTGCTTGATACTTTTATTTAATAGAGGAATAATCTACACTAGATACTGCTTAAAACGCGAAAATTAACATGTCAAAAAAGCGATATTTTCAACTTTGTCGTAAGTTAAATATGAGATATTAGAACGAGTTTTTCTTTAAATAGAGATAAAACTTGCCGAAGCACATCTTTAATCATATCAATACCACGGATAGAAAAACTCGGGGATAAGTTTGGATGGATCATACTTTGAATTGATCGACCTATAGAAAATCAGATCATTCGCTAAAAAGTCATCATATTCGGACCTGAATGAAAAATGAACACCAGATTCTTCCGAACTTTTCTGCTAGTATGATTTTGCTGTAGGAGTAGTTTCTAAAATTGGATTATCTATGAGAGAAATTTACTTTTTCGGAAGTCTGAATACTGTTGTAAGCTTCAGTAATGACACATTTATAATTATGAGATATAATATTTTAGCAAAAATATTGACTTCTAGTAATATTAGATATATAAAGTCAAACTGGTAGGATGAATATGAGAAAGCTATAAAGTAGTAAAGAGTGTATGAGCATGTAGATATTAAAGTTTATAAGTAAAAGTGCATTACACGGACTAAATCTTGAAACACGAAACCCGAAACAAAGTCATACTTGTGATCAATAAGAAAAAAGTGCTTCCTAAAAAACAAAATCTTCCTAAATCTTAAAAGCAAATCTTATTCTCATGGATGAAATTATTTCAACTTTACAAATCATAATCATTTGAATATTATTCTTCTTTTATTTTATTAAAAAAGTCCAAAATAAAAAAAAACATATCCAGTTTCATCGTATTCGTTGACTCAAAAGTAAAAATACAAATAACATGCACAACAAAATAAAAATCAAGTACATATCACAAAGGTGCAAATGAAAATGAACGAGAAAATAGATTATTTTGTAACTTTCATGAAAGACAAATGTTGAACGAATACATGAAAATCATCATTCATTTTTGTTTTTAAATAGGAAATAGCCTATGCACGTTTTTTACATTGAACACATGCAAATACCGGTAAAGCAAAACAAGCAATAACAAGAACAATTGGAATTCCAATAGCAACAAGAGCAATAAGTGCAGCTAATACAACTGGTGTCAGAAGCAGAACACCAGCAAAAATCGAACCACGTACTAACCAACGTAATAATGGACGATTTGGCCAAAGTTTATATTTACAGCCGAATATTGAATATTTCGCATCATGTCCAATATAATTAGGTAATCTCATTCTACTTCCACAACGATAACAAAATTTTGCTTGACATTTGGTACATAACATATGATCACATCCATCAACTTTTTCAATGTATATTGAACATGTCGGACAACGTTGAGCATTTCGTTGATTATTATCCAAACGACGTATTTTAGCCCACATATCAAGTTCCATATGATCTTTTTTAAATTGTCGACATGTTATATTAGGATGTGATGGTGCATAACATGACCAACACCATTCTTTATTACATTGTTCACAACATATCCATTGTGTTGATGGATGACGAGATTTTGCTTGTTTTATTATTGGATTGTTTTCGTCAAGTATAGTTATAAAATTACAATGTGGACATAATTTAATATAACTATTTGGTTTTTCAGATAAACTTCGTGCTAAAATTTCTTGATAACGTTCACGTATTGATACTGGTAATTCACTATTATATAATATTGTTGATGAATTTATATCTTGTGAACATGCTGGACATTCAATATTGGCTTTTCCATTACGAATATTCGTTATTGTATGAGTTAAAAGACATAATGAACAAATTTTCGTTGAACAACAGGGCATTTTTTTTAATTCATTCAATGGAATACCATTACAACATATTGGGCATTCATTTAGATCTATATGATCATTTGAATTTTCACGAAAACTAGTGGTTATTATTTGACTACAATAAAATAACAACATTAAATGTCTACGTTGAATAGAATAAAATTTGTTGATCTATTCTATATCGTTACTCACTCGTTAGCATGTATTTTATTCATTGTAAACTGTATAGTGCGCTCACCAATTTTATGTTTCTTTCAAGAGTTTTTTTTCTTGTTTGAAATCGGAACACCAACATTATAGAAATTTTATACTTTTTGCATTTTTTTTTTTGAATAGAAGAAAGAGAATTTAATATGTCACTGCTTTCGTTTTTTCCATTGGTAAAAAAGAAAAAGAATGAAGCATCTCTCTGACGTCATCATTCTGTCTAATTGCATATATTGGAAAGTTGGAAGAAAAAAAAACAGATTTATTTTAATGATTTTTTTCTGATCGCAAAAACTCGAAAAGCAAGTTGTTAAATAGAAAAATATTCTATCTATGAAGTAATTCAATTTCTATTACTTATTATACATTAACTAATCTAAATGAAAAATAGCCTTGAGGTCTAGTTAGATTAACGCAAAAAAACAATTTCATCTATACTTAAAAATTTGCTAGTAGTGTCTTTTAGAAAACAATGAATATTTTATATAGAAAGCATAAAATGAGATTTGTTTTCTAATTAGAATTAAATAATTATTTTCATTTACCCTCTATTCATTGGTGTTCCTGTTTGAACTTGTGAAATATTTACTTCACTAATTTCAATAGGTTTTGATAAATCAGTCATGAGTAATATTGATCTTAATGATTCATAACGTGTTAATTCAAATTCAATATCATAATCGATTTTTGTAATGAATTTTGCTATGAGTATTTCCGTTTCTATAATGTCGATGAGAATGCCACGTTTGCAAATGTCGATTTTGTTCTGATTGATTTTCAGCAAAAGCTATCTGTTAGAAAAGAAAAAGTGAAAAAAACAAGAAGACAATAACAAAAGGAAAAGGAAGTTGTAGTAATGATCATTCAATTTATTTTTGTCAAAATAACAAAACCAAAAAAAAGCAGAACAAGAAGATTTTGGTTAATGGTCTTTCTCTCAATGGCTTTCTCGGCCATGGCAAGAGTTGATGACAAACAATCATGGAGGATGAAGAACGAGAGAGAGAAGAAAAATGACTGCAACTCTGGCAAGAAACAACACACACGTTGCATGCATGCTTATTCATTCTGTATGCCTACTTGCATGACTACCATCTTTAAAACGTCAGCCGGAGTTGCAAAGGTGAGTAAAAAAAAGAGAAAACATTCGTTCGGGTGAAACAGAACAACGTAAGAAACGAACGTCACATGAGAAAGTACCCTTTCGAACAAACAAGAGAAAGAACAGAGAAGTCACGAAAACGTCAGCAAAAAAATACATGCGAAGACTCCTTTTTTCATACTAATAAGAAATGATATATTTTAAGCAAGCTAATATCATATTTTGATTCAACTAATTTTAATTATACGTATAGTACAATCATAGTTCTGTAGGTGTCAGTATAAACCAGTAAGCAAATCTTCGCAATATATTTTCTATTTGCATTAATTTAGTGTCATATGTTATACATGTATGAAATAGTAATTTGTCAATCATATATACTATTTATCGAAAAAATAATTTTAGTTAATAATTGCAAGTACAGTTTCTCTTTTTGATGTAGTCACTATATCTAATCGAAATATAAACGCATGATGTTTTTAAAATAGATGAAAGAGAAAAACAATATTCGTAATTTAGATAACATGTGATAACTGAAGAAAAAAAATAAAAGAAATAAATATTTTCCTCAGCAATGGCGTAGCCAGGAAGTTTTTAAGTCATGATCAGCTTTTCGATCAAACTATTTTGAGGTGTAGACAGCTGTCACTATCTTAGACAAAATCTGTGAGCAATTACTATTGAACGATTGAGTAATTGTTACCAGCAAAAGAAATCCGTGAGCAGCAATAACTTTTTGATCGGTGAACAATTTCTTGGTGGCCTATGGCTGGTTACGCCACTTGTTTCCAGTAGGGATTTGTTTCAGTGATGATTGTTGTATTCGACGCAAAAAAAGAATAAAGATCGCTGTAGAATATTATATTCTTTAAAGCAGCGATTATTTCATTATTTACCACTACACATCTGACGAATATGACCGATTCAATAAAAAACAGTTGAAAAAAAAGAAAAAATATTTAAGCAATAAAAAAAAAGATAAAATAAAAGAATAGCTGATAACGTTTATGTCATCACATATAGAGTCTATAGGGTAGGTAAAAATGTTTTTCTAGGGAGGTATACTACCGTGATTTCAAACAACATCAACAACAAGGTTTATATTAAATTAAGGTGTGTCGAAAATGGGATTTAGCAATACTAAATAGTAAGGATTATGATAACTTTTCAGTGTCAAGTTTAGAAAATTTCTAAAATTTTACATTATATATGAGCAAAGAAAAATTCCTTTTATGAGGTAGTTCAAACTAGATCTCATGTAAAATAATGAATATCAAAAAGTAATATTTATCTTGTTTAAGATTCTATGAATATGATCAATAATCACTATAACGACCATTAGTATTTTTACAGCAGAAAGATAAGACGAATATGAACGTAAAATAATTTCAAATAGATCAGTATTTATTTCCATGCTTGCCAAAAATATGTTTTTTTCTAGAATTTCTTTATCATAACGATTGTATTCTGTCTCTGGTAGCTTAATTATTGTTCTAATATTTTCACGTCTGATATCCAGTACTTTGAGATATTTATCATTTTATATGAGGTCTAGTTTGAACTAAATCATGAAAGGAATTTTCCTCTGCTGATATAACATAAAGTTTTAGAAGTTTTTTCAATTCGACACTGAAAAGTTGTCATAATCCTTACTATTTAATATTGATAAATCTCATTTTCGACATGTTTTAATTTGATATAAAATTCGTTGTTGATGTTATCTGAAATCATAGCGTTATCAACTTGAAAAAATATTTTTGCGCATCCCATGCAAGATCATATGATAGATTTTGTCATTCAAGATCATAATAATTTAGGATGATTCTTGACTCAATTATATGTCTTTCTTACAAGAAACAACTGTTGATGACACACATAAGCATGTACGAATATAGAGTTGATTGTCATGTGTTCAAGCACTATCATACAGACAAAGCATGTTCTATATGATTTTAATCTATCATCTTTCTGTCGATTAAATGTTAGAATTTGATAACATTCATTAATTCATTTTATTATTCATTGATATTTTAGGAAAATAGCAATATGTAGTAGAAAAAAAAAGAATGATAATATATATTTTAAAGCTTTTAATACGTATAATACAAAAAAAAGAAAACAATCATTATGATGATATTATATTGCAGAAGATGTATGATAAAAAAATATATGAAGATAATGACACACAATCAGAAATATGAGAAAAATATATGTATATTTGCCGATAGTTTTCAAGTAGTTCCCGTCTATATGAGATGTTTTTTTTCTCTTTATCTCTCTTGAAAATCGTTTAATACGAGAATAAATGTCCGCTTGAAGCTCTATCCATCAATTTATTTATTTCTCCACTTTATCGACATCGAGGTTTGTCACAAGTCCATGTTTGTGCTCGTAGATCTTCATCTTATTCTTTATTATTTTGCATGTTCTACACAACAAAAAAAGAACGACTAATAGCAATAAAGTATAGAAAAGAGAATCGAATAGACTGGAATGTCTTCATGTTTTCTTACTTGCTTGCTTGCTTGCTTACGCGTTCGGTCGCTTGCAAACTACTTGCATACAGGCGCATATATATAGAGGAGAGAGGAGACACAATGAATTAGAACAAAAAAAAACCAAGTGATCTGAAAATCATCATCGTCGCCTTTTTTGCCTATCGTGCAGAACGAGCGCAAACGCAAGCCAACGTGCTACTGCTGTTGCACAGCTTGGCATACTCTTTGCATCATCGTCATCGTCGTGCATCGCTGTTACTTCGTTTTGTTGTCGTCGTCGTCATCATTCTTCTGCTTCTTGTCGCGCGTTTTCTATCTAAGAAATTATGGAAACGATATGAAAAAAAAGATAAAAAGAGAACAGAAAAGGAAGGAGAATAGGAAAAAAAGAATGAAGGAAGTTTCTGCATGTTATTGCTTCTTCTATTAGTTGGTTTGGCACTATTTCCAAAAATAAAAATAAAAATAAAATAGCCGACTGTTCCTCCTCGCTCTGTGTATGTGTGTGTGTGTGTGTGTGTGTGTGTCAGATCCTCCGCTCTCACTCGTTCTTTCTCAAACGATCGTTATTCTTCTGTGTCTCATTTTGACTAACTTTGTCCTACTACTACTACAACAAATAATTTGAACGCACATGTATATGTAGATGCAGATATATTTATATAAATATATATAAATATATACACGTATGAATATATAATTCATCAAGACAAAAGAATCGGTCGCATACCACTTAACTCTTTCTTGTTTCTCTCGTGCGTTACAGATTCTAACGGTAAAGATTCATGTCATTGCGTTCCATCAAACTTGGCCAATTTTGCAGCGTCGATTTCCTGCTTGTCTTACTTCAACTCGTTATTATCTGTGATGTATGTTGCCTCTCCTCTTTTTTCTGTGATCATTCCAACAATACCGAATCTACTATCACTGTTCGTGATCGTCATTCTATACTCTTAGACCTTGCAGACGTACAATAAATTTTTTTTTACTGTGGTTGAACTCAATTGCTGACATTCATTTATTCATTCGTACTTTGCAACCATATCGAGCAGCTATTTTTAGGTATTAATTGTGTTTATTACTTATAGCAGGACAACAGAAAAAAAAAGAACCAAAGATTTGGATAAAATTAACCCGGTGAACGACTAAATATATAATATCGCACGCGTACTCTTGCCGGAAATCTAATGCTGGCCGAGTCGGTGCGTTGATGATGCGAGTATGAAAAAACAGAACGTTCGTACCTTAACACTTATTGTTTCGACATTCAGGTTTGTCTATCAAGATTTTTGAAAAAAGCTTGAATCAAAAATTCATCTGTGAATTTTTTTTTATTTTCAGCTATTTGCTCGTTGGTGCGGCCATATTTGACGCGCTCGAATCTAATACAGAAGATTTGTTGCGCAAACAATATCAATTGGCCGAAACGAGCATGCTCCAAACATATAATATATCTCAGAGTGAATATTTTGAACTTGAAGATATCGTTATCAAATATCAACCACATAAAGCTGGTGCACAATGGAAATTTCCAGGAGCATTCTATTTTTCTCTTACTGTCATAACAACTATCGGTAAGTTATATTAATCAATGTACATTTTGTATTTGAAGCGTGTAATATTATCACAAGATCATTTTTACTTTCATGTATAACATCTCTCATTTTTCCTTTGTTTGCCGTTTCCATAAATATTCAAATATTTATTTGTATAGATTTTTACCGAGAACAAAGAAATGATAAAAAAAAAGGTACTTATTGCATGTCAATTAGCGCAACTTAAGGTCCTATCATATTCTCTTTTTACTAACGGCTAAAGAAAAAACATCTCTATCTCGCCCTAGACCATAAGATAATTTGGGTATAACTATGTAACTTACTTGTTTTAACTGATTGAAAAGCTTTCTTACATAATCACACGTCACAAATGTTTTTTTTTTCTACAAGGAAAACAAATCTTATCGATGTTCTTTCCGTTTCTTCGTCTTATTTTTGTTTCATTATCTTAAAAACATTAAAAAAAATCGTTTAGAACATGTATCGAACTTTTTTTGTAATTGCTTTGATACTTTTATACGTTAATTTCTAGTTCCAATTGACTACAGTAGTTCCTGTTAGTTGACAAGGTAAAATACAAAGAAGGAAAAGAAATTATTGTGTGAGAACTTTAACGATGGTTGTTAATCACTGTTGCACATACATAAATCTTATTCTTTTTTTGTAACATAAGGTAGATAAATATAAAAGAAGACTATAGCCCTTGTACTGCCAATAATATTCGACTCATTAGACTCTGTTGACTGTGTCCAATGGTACAAATTATATGGTAGTCGATAGAAGGATTACAGGGAAAGATAATTGTCAAAATAATAGTAATAGAATACTAGCCTTCCCTATGACGTCAATGAATAAGTGTTATATCGGATGTCTACATAAACGCATATATATATATATATATATATATATATATGTCAAGGTAATGACATGAAGATGAAACAGAGATCATTCGTCTGTTTAATGCATTATTATTGTTTTTTTAGTGGTAACATTGTGACGAACATTTATATTCAAAAACATTCTTTATGTAATTTTCATCAATTCTTTATTTTTTGCTTCTATTGTGGTTTATATGATTGTTAGTAAAATAAGGTTATTATGATCGCACAATATATAAAATAACTATTTATAGAATTCAAGTAGAAAAGTCAATGTAATGAATACGTATATATTTATTTATAGGAAATCTGCTATCTAATTCTCCAATGTTAATATTCGACATTTTACGGACAGATTAATAATCTTCTTTGACATTTATTGCATATATAACGCTTAAAAAAACCATAATAATTCAAAATCAGGATGAATTAATTTCAACAAACATTTGAGAAATAAAAAAGTACAGCATTGATCATACTTTCTTTCTTTACATAACCTAATTCTAAAAATTATTACAATAAAATGTCTATAGTGAAATTTGATGCAAACAAAAGACGATTTTATATATTTGGTTTGCAAAAATGTACTCAATTGAATAGAGAAAAGAAAAACCATTTTCATTATAACACAAAGCTCTTCAGTCATTCGTCATTCAGAATAGAAACAAAAATTATACGATTAGTTTCGAGGTTCCGTCGAACAAGTCTCTGATCTCGTTCTGATACACTTGAATGCACAAGTCCACTTATTTGAATTAGAATCGATCATAAAAACAAAAAAACAGAAAGATGAATAAATTCTTCTTGTTTCATATTCTAGGCTATGGCCATTCTTGTCCTACTACAAGTAAGTTTAATAACGATGATTTATTTAACCAAAAAACAAAAACCAAATTTTTATTTCAGGTTGGGGAAAATTCTTTTGTATGCTATATGCTGTTATTGGTATTCCACTTTGTCTTGTTATGTTTCAATCTGTTGGTGAACGTTTAAATAATTTTGCTAGTTGGTGTATAAAATCAATAAAAAAATGTATTAAATTACGTCATTATGAATCAACACAAACTGAACTTGTTATCGTCGGAACTGTTCTAGCTGTTGGTGTTGTTACAGGTGGTGCCGCTATGTTTCATCATTATGAAGCATGGGGATATTTTAATTGTGTTTATTATTGTTTTATAACATTAACAACAATAGGTAAATAAAATAAAATTTATTGAATGATATTTATTTATTTTAAATATATACATATATATTTATTAGGTTTTGGTGATTTTGTTGCTTTACAAACAAATGAAGCATTAAATACAAATGCTTTTTATGTTGTTCTATCTATGACATTTATTCTATTTGGTTTAACAGTTGTTGCATCATCAATGAATTTACTTGTATTAAGATTTTTAACAATGAATACTGAAGATGAACGTCGTGAAGAAATTCAATCAGCTGTTGCACGTAATTCACTACGATATGATAGTGATATTCTTACTCCAAATGGTATAAATAGAAAAAACAAAACTAATTAGAAAAAAAAATTTTTTTTTTTCCTCAAATATTTTTTTGTTATTTTATTTAGGTGGACTTATTCCATCTTTACTTTCCGATCAGTATGATTATTTATCAACTGAATTAACACCATCAGAATCAGAACCATGTCATTGTTGTTCATGTTTTAAACGTAAAAAAAAAGATCGTAAAAAATTTACTGTTCGTCGTATGCCGGGAAAAATTGCACATCTTGTACCAATGCAACGGTTTGATTCGGTAACGATGAAAAAAGTTTTATCAGAAACGAAACCGTCCAATACTGATTATTATCTGCATTCATCAACTAAAGTACCATCAATGCCAACAACATCAGGATTTGGAACTAAGACATTAGTAGATGAATCTCCAATGATGGATTGGCCACCACCGCCACCATTTTCTTCTTCTTGTCATCTTCCTATTCATACATCCATATCAAATAATTCTTTAAAATTACCTTATGAACAAGCAAAATGTGTGAATAATAATGATCGTGACAAGGCTATTTCTCAATCGAGATTACCAACAAAACTTTCTCGTTTTCAAGAAGACACTGAGTTGATTCCACTTCGACTCGATGTCAATGTCAAACGATCTTCCGTGTGATCTATTCGTTTGAATGAAAAGAATATCTTGTGTTTCTCTATTTTTCTTTCATTCAATCTTTCCTTTGTTCAAAACGAAAACCTGTCTCTATCTTTACCTCTTTCTTTTTTTTTTCTAATTTATTTTTCTTTTCTTTTGATTGATATGTTCTTATTATGTAAAATGTTCATATTTTTGTTTCATTTTCATTATCATTGAAGAAGAAAATAGAATTACACATAAACACATATAGAAATAAGCACATCGAGAAAAGAAACAAATGAATATTAAATGTAAAAAAAAGATATGATAAGAGATTCACACACATTAATGTTTTCAATTATCTGATAAATCTAACATATATATTTGCATAAGAAAAAATAAGAATATTTAATCGAAATCGTCATCATCTGAAATATGATAATTTTTTTTCGCAGCAGCATCACGTTGTGTACGAGCCTAAAAAAATAATATAGAACTTACAAAAACAAAAAAAAAGGGGATGCTAAGAATTTCATTTACTTTTTTATTTGCACTAGGTGATGTTGATAGAATGGTGATATCATCATCATCACTTTCCTAAGAATATCATAAACAATAGAATTTACTTGTTCTCTGGAATTAATTGATACTTACAGCTGTTGGTTTTGGTCGTTTTGCTGTTTTTGTCTCTTTTTTAACAGTTTCTTTCTTTGTTGTTGCATCGGGATCTTTTTTAGTCTAAAATATATTTGAATAAGAAGAAAAATAAGTTTAATAAATATTGATTTACTCGAGGTTTTTTTGGTTTTTCTGTTTTATTTTCATCTTTATTTTGTCGATTTTGCATAAGAACACTTAATGCATTTTTCTTTTCGGGTGACTAAAACAAAAAAGACAAGAGAATTTTTATATTTAATTTCATAAATTCTCAAAAACATCATTTACTGGTATTTTTGGTTTTGATTTTGTTTTTTTAATTTTCTTTTCTATCTCTGAATCACTACCAACATAATCTGATTCATTATCACCAATATTTTCTTGATTTTCATTACTACTATCTTCATCACTACCATATTTAACAACTTTTCCTTTTACTGTACGTTTTGCATTACGTTTTGGTGACATTTCTTGTTTGATATTTTCTGAATTATCTTTTCCATCAATTGAAATCATTGATGAATTACTATTTTCATCTATTGTACCATCCATTTTTTTTTCTTTTGTTGTTTCATTTGATTTCTTTTCTATAATATATCAATGTTAATATTTAAAAATTAAAGAAAAGAAAAGAAAAAAATCTCAAACCTATGACATTGCCGATTCGTTTTTTTTCTTTACAACGTATTTGCATTATTTCAGATATTTCTTGAGATGTAACACCTTCTTTAACAAGATATTCAATAATTGTTCGTTTATCAGCAATAGTTTTTTCTTCCTAAAATGAAAATTGTTTTTTTTCTTTACAAAATTAAATAAAGAACAATCTAAAACATACTCGATTACGTTTCATAAGTTCTTCAGTAACTTTTTTTACAAATGCTGGATCAATAACTGGTTGTATACGTTGACCATTTGGAGCAGGTTTTGTTTCAGCACGTTGTGGTTTAATTACTTGTTTTTTACGACTTTTACCATCAGTAGTAGTAGTGCCAGCGGCTTTTTTTGTTGTATAATGGGCGACTTCAGACATTTCATCAGCACGTTCTTTTTCAATAGCCTAGTTATCAAAATTAAATTTAAGAAAATTGATACTAATGAGAAAATGCATTTTTTTCCCTGCAGCATTTTTGGTCTTGAATAAGTTCATTGTTTGAATCAAACTATGTTTGCTCGAAGAATATCGTCATAAAATATTGAGAGTGTTATTTAAGAAAAAAATGAAAGTGGTACCCTATTTCAGCTAAATATATAGTCATTACGAATTATTTCAATGAATTTTTTATGTTTCGAGTTGATGACGATAAGACTATATGAGAACTTACATTTTATACATGATTACATTTCGTTACTAAAAAGATTGTCGTGCGTTTAAACGATGAAAATAAATTTTCGCTTATAAATAAATGTCATTTTCCTAAACAATTCTTACAGGAATACAGTCATTCAAATCATGCTATAGTCTAGCAATCAAATGTAACTGATAGCAACATATGAGTTTTCTTTTCAGTGGTTTCGTTATCAAACCGATACTTGACATGGTATCCATCATCGATTATATAAATCGCAAAGCTGTAACATATTCTACCTAGTCTACAAAAGCCAGTGACTGCATGAAGGTCTGAAAATTGTGAGAGGAAGGTATTAAAAAATGTCTCACAAGGATACGAGCAAATTTTAAAAAATCTTGTCAGTTTTACTGAACAATAACACATCGTTTTGAATTAGTTGAGAACAAATTCATCTCCAACAATCTCAGACTTTCGCGACCTCGGATTAAAGTAAATCATGATCAATCCTGCGTATGACATTCTTCCCTTTTAAGAGAAAAATATTTCAATAAAAAAGCTGTTAGCACAATCCCCGAGAGATTAAAATGTAAAACACAATGTAGCTGCTGTTGCTAATCACATGAATATTGTTTTATTATATCTGTCTTGGGGCACATTTCTTCATTATCCATTCATTTAATCCTCTAGAAATGCAATAAGGAAGTAGGTCATTTTTTTATATATACGGTCTGTGATGCATGGGGAGCGGAAAAGGAGTGTTCCGAAGGTATATGTCACGGTCTGTGAGAGGAGAAGAGTCCAAATTTTTAGTCCTATATTCCAACACTCCTTTTTAGATTGTATTTCAAGAAATCAATAGCAAGCGAGGAAGACATGGGTTCAAATAAATGGTAAAGAATAACTTACTTTATGATATTCAGCTTCAAAATGATCAAGATCATCTTCGTATAAATCTTCAGGAGATTTTTTTTGTAAAGCATCAAGTTTTTCATGTTTTTCTTGTTGTTCTTTAAGAATTTCATTTCGTCGTTCTTTTGTTAAATTACGTAGTGACATATTAATTAAATAATCATAATAGGTTGTATCAATTTTATTTGCTGTTGATGATGTAGTTGGTTTTGCTTTTTTATTAGTATTTTCATCATCATCATCATTTTCTTCATCTTCATCGTCCTCTTGTTTTTGTTGCAAATCATCTAATTGATCTGGATTATCATTATTAGTATTTGTTTGAATCTCAACAGCAAACTAAATTTTAAAAAAAATCATTTAATTAAATTGAAATATTTTATTTAATTTTACCTTCTTTTTTGCTTCTTCACGCCAAACTTTTTCTGGATCTCGATCATATTTACGTTCGATAAGCATTTCAACAACTGCACTTATCTTTTTATTTTCAACACTAATAATATTTTCAATTTTTTCTTTAATAAATCTTGCTATATTATCTAATTTTAAACATTGTGATTGTAATGTTCCAACCATATATTCTTTTCGTTTAACATACATTATAAGACGAACCATAAAAAATTCTTGACAAATTTCTTCAGGACTTTTGTAACGATGTAATATACCATTATGATCAAAAAGAACCATATTTGTTAATTTAAATGTTTCTTGTAAACGAAAACTTTTATGAAGACCAGATTCATTAAATTTAACAAATTGTGCTTGAGATAATTTAACAACAAAACGAACTGTTGTATCAGTATGATATTCTAATTAGAAAGAAAAAAAAA